CTTCTCGGTCTTCCCGCGATCTTCCCGCGTCCCGCCCACCCCGACCCTTTCCGATTACAGCCGAGCCGCTCCGATTACAACGAGAGTTAGAACGAGAACGTGACGTCATATTTACATTAGACGGATCCTTTCTAGCCATAACCTTCCTAGTGTGGGGCGCTGGTGTGGGCCAGCGCTGGTGTGGGCACTAGGAAGGATCACTTCTTGCGCCATATGGCTCTGCTAGTGCCTGACGAGTTTTAAGCTAATAGCCTATAAAGTTATGAATATTAGAAAGTTATTTTCATTGAAAAAGGCGCCACAACTGCTGCAGCAGCAGCAGTATCAGCAGCTGACAACAATGTCATCACCAGCAGTGAAGAAATGGATGATGTTTCAGGTTTGTGAATCTCATGGTGATATCTGCAGTCTGGCTGACTGAGTAAGAAGTGAAAAAGAGTGATGTAACGTTAATGTTATAGCTAGTAAACATGGAGTAACCACACGAATTATACCCTTATATGTTAGTATGTATACAGAACATGACTAAAAATTACCCTAAGATGTAATGTTAACCCTTCATACCTCAGTCTACCTTTAAGACACTAAAATAACGTATTCCAATTTTTATATTGTTTTGGAATTATACCGTCTCTCGTTTCAGTACACTTAACAACGGAACCATAGCAACGGAACTGACAGGGAAAGGAACTGACAGGCAACCCTCTGAATCAGACTCCGATTGGCTGTGACTGCATGAGAATAGATCTATAAACAATAAGCAATGCGCCAGAATCAAGGTGAGACTATCCGCATCCTTTAAAACTCTACGCACATTCGTTTCACCGAAATAAGTAAACGACTGTATTTGAGTGAGTTAAGGCATTAGTTTGCTTCATTAAAGGATGTNATAAGCAATGCGCCAGAATCAAGGTGAGACTATCCTTTAAAACTCTACGCACATTCGTTTCACCGAAATAAGTAAACGACTGTATTTGAGTGAGTTAAGGCATTAGTTTGCTTCATTAAAGGGTCTTAATGAATAAGTGTTCTCCAGTGCCTTTGTCAGCTTTAAGGTATTATTAAGGTAGGGTTAATGTTGCTCTCAAAGTGCACCAGATTGATGCTTTTAACTTCAATATTTAAAAAAAAAAATCTTCCCGGGGGAGCATGCCACCGGACCGCCCTAGAGGAGGCGACGACCCCCCTAAAGGATGTTCGGTCCACCCCCCACTTGTAAAAAAATAGCACTTTACCCCTGCACTCCCCAACAACTCCTGGGCTAAGCCCCGGATCTCCTACAATCCTAAATCCGCCACTGCATGGGACCTTTAAGGCTCATAGTAAGTAAAGTTGTCAAAGTCAAATCTGTTTTCAGATGTTTAAAAGTAATTACTGTTGCAGCGACAAATGTCTGTTTTTTGCCCATGTTCTCAGATTTAAGACTTGGCATGAAGAAGATGTAACCCCTGTACAGTAAGAAAACAAAGTCCCTCTTCAAACTTCAAAGTGAATCTATAAATATAGAGAAGGGAAGAAAGGAAAGAATGAGGGAGATAGTTTTTGTGATGGTGGTGTGTGTGTGTGTGTGTGTGTGTGTGTGTGTGTGTGTGTGTGTGTGTGTGTGTGTGTGTGTGTGTGTGTGTGTGTGTGTGTGTGTGTGTCGATTAGTGCACTCTCTGACCTCTTCTCTGCGTTCAGATCCACGTCTCTGTATGTACCATCGGATCTGAGCCTGTTGAGATTTGGGGATACACTCGAGGAAGGTGGAGTTGCTCTGCACCCCATAAAGGACTCTCTCCTCCACCCGTCCCCCAACAAGACCTGCAGAAAACATGACTGTTATTGATCCAAACTCTTTTCTCTGGTTCTAAATAGAAAGATGTCTCGCAGGTATCCTCTCGAGACTTGTTAAGTAATTCATTTATCTGTTTCCTGGATGTGTGTTTACAGCTCGCAGAGAGATTTTCTTAAGAAGACAGATAAAGGCTTCATTTATTAAAAGAACAAAGTCTACGTACTGTCTTTGGTGTCCCAGCACTGGCTGGCTGGGTCTCCATGCTTGATATCCTGTCTTCTGGCTCGCCTGGAAAACAAACACACAACGTGTAAATAGATTACAAGAGATTATAAATACACATTTTGATAAAATGTAAGAGACAGTGCCGACAACCATATTTTCTCACACAAATCATCAATTCAATAATTGTTCAGTTATTTTTCAACTGAGACAGAACCTTAAAAAATATAAAACATAACAATAGAATGGCACTTGGTATAGAGGATGATTTATTGTGTATAGCTTGGACTGTTCAAACAACACATTGAGAGCTGTTTGTGATTATTTGTTTTAAAAACTTCAGTGAAAGTTCACTTGCATTTTATCAGTAGGGAAATACTTTTACTGATCTCAAATTGCTAACAAAAGTTATAAATACTTTTTGTATCCCACCCCCTGTGATTTGGATTTTTTTTATGTGTAATGGGCCTTTCCTTGGCCTATGATACCCATTCCAAATTCATTGAATTGTGGGATGGTAGTTTATTCAGTGACCCTGCTGACAGATGAACAAAAAAACGGAGCCAGAAACATAACCTTGGTGTAGGTGGATTGGAGAAAATAAATAGATAAAAAAAACACCTCTTACACATCTCAAAATGAATGAACATGTAAAGAAGTTGCCTGAATATTACCTTTAGCAAAGGTTTTTTTCAGAACCACTTTACATGTGATTTAGGGTGACCTCGGATTACTGTTAACCTTCAGTGTCTTACTCCAGTTAACACCTGTAAAACCTTAGGCAAATACACCACAACTTCTGAAGTCATTCTGTCTACTACAGAGTTATTTATTCCCTACAAAAATGACATTCAAACAATGTTTCTTTGGCCTCTGGCTTGATGACGCTCACTTCGCTCCTTCAGTTTGTATTGATTTTGCCTCCTCCACCTTCTGTCAGTGCACTGTGATAGGACATCTGTAGCCTACACTCGCTGACACTGTGGAGATCATCTTTCAAATAGCACTGGAAACCAAATGCAGGAACTCCACTGTTCCACAAACCCAAACAGCATCCCCACTGGCCAATAATATGGCATTGTGACCTCTAACTGTAGGGTATATATTCTGTAGAGCAAGCACACAAACAAAAACACACACATGCAGTAAAACACCCATATGTGCTTTTTCACCCAAGAAGTGAACTGTAGAGGTATGGAATGACAGTAGCATTAATCAGTTGAGGAACAGCATCTAAAACCAATGCCTCAAATGGACTAATAACCTTTGGAATGGAAAAATGCTGAATATGTGACAAGAGCCAAAATAGAAAACATATTTAGCAAGAACTATGGACTTTGCCTGACAGTCCAAGAATACACACACACACACACACACACACACAGACACACACACACACACGCACATACCTTACGCAGATAAAATAGCCCAAAGTGGTCTGTTTTCAGCAGGCTGTGGTCGCGGTCCTGGAACCCATGCTGCGGAAGTCTGATGTCCTTTATTTATCCACGATTGGATGAATGGGAATGGGTCAAATTTGTTGATAGNNCACTACACTACACANTCCTCATGTGTTGTATAGGCTGGCATGATAGGCTGTTCAATGGGGCTGATGTGTTGTGTAGATTCTGCCAGAAGGAAAATCAGCGGGGAGGTGCCACATTGCTTTTCTTCCCGACTGCAACGCTGGTCCCGCAAATCAAGCAAAACGTGATTGGTCGATATTCATTGTGGGGGTGGGGGAGGAGGGGGTGTTAGATAGATATAGAGTTGTAGTAAGTAGATAGAGTTCGCTATGATTTAGGTTTCGTTTATGCATAGAGTAGATTTTAATTACATTTCCTTTTTTGTTTTGGATTTGCTTGGCGAGCTATTTTTAGAACATGCCCGGCGGGCGACTCACGTTGCCCCTGCGGGCGAATGAGTGCCCACGGGCGACTGAGTGCCCGCGGGCACCGTGTTGGCTACCCCTGCCCTAGAAGCTACGTAAAGGTACGTGTTGTGATGTTTGTCTTTGCTTCCCCTTTCACAAGTTCAGATCACTCAGTGATGATACTATATACCTAAATAATCTGTGGAACCTCAGCTTTAATCGGAGATCCTGTATGTGCAGATACGATAAGTAATAAGGGTACTTTTATCTTGAGTTCTGTGCCAATGTCCTTTAGCATTTTTCGCTAAGGGGTCATTTAGATGCTTCTTATGAGACTTGTGTTTTGTTTTGGTAAAAATGGTTTATATCGTCAGTTAGCTGAGATTATTTCCGTTAATCTGGTATAACACATTAATAGGTTCTTAAATATTAAGATCCCCTGAGACACAGTGTCCTGAAAAAAAAAAACAGGGTCCCCTTGGGGCTTAACAGGTTAATAGTTTGTTTGGGTCCCTCACTTCTGTTTCGCTTCTCATGCACTAATTCGCTAAGCTGAACAGCCAATCAGTGATTTCTTTGCTCGACCACCTCCCGATTCAACAAATCGAATCGGTGGCGGAAGGTATCGGCACGGCCGAAAAGACACGATGGTGCAGTACACACCAATCTGAATAGGGCGACACAACGCTCATCGATGGCCCGACATCTATCGACGCCGAAAATTGGCTCGGTGTGTAATGATCTTAAGTTGGTGAACTATCCACATTTAATGGGCAGGATATCTTAAGTGTTCTACCCCTTAAAAAGACGTGCACTTTAATTAGCTCATTAAAAGGTCTCTACTTAAACAGCAATTCATATGCTAAGATATAACCTGCATTATCAGTCTGCAGCCTCGCTTTATTTCAATACTTTTCCAACATGCTGTTCCTATCTCGCTTCATGTTTTATTGTCGGCTATCTGTTTTCCTTTCTTTCTCTTCCTTTCCCTTTTCAATTACCCTCGACTGTCTTTATACTAACAAGTAGGTCTCCTTTGTGCTTGTTAAATAAACAGATTCAAACCAGCGGCATGCGGTTTACCTGTTTATTTTCCTTATTAGCGCAGGAAATCAGTCAGGCTGCGTGCCTGTTTGCAAAACCAATAGATTGATTGCAGTTGGTTTGTGGTAAAGTACAAATTGTATATTTATTATTTGTGGTTGTCCGTCTGGTTATTTGAGAAAGCTACAATGTGCTGACTATAGTTTTCTTAAAGTGACTGTGGTTGTGTTTCAGAATGATGTGGGTGGGCTGAGGAGTCTGACCAATAAATGGACCACCTTCCTCAAAGCCAGACTTATATGTTCCATCCCTGGACCGGACGGAGTGGACACACACTTTGATGAACTTCGTAAGTGATTGTAGGATTAAATGTGAAAATCTAGGCCACTACAATACGTTTTATCTTTCCAATTGGCCTTCTGAGAGCAGTTAAGAAAGGGACAGCATTTCCAACTCGGCAGTAGGAAAGTGGTAGACTTTTTTTTGTTGTGCAGATAAAGGTAAACAAACAAATATCCTTTATTTTGCTCCCCCTTTTTCCAATAGAGGACATATTTATGCTTCCTACCAGAGATGACAAAAACCCCAAAGTGTATGCAGTGTTCACCACCTCCAGGTAAGTTAAGTATTAATCATACTATCATCAACATCAAAGGCACTTTCTCTTTAACCCGTTTCCTCTTCTCTCAGCTCAATTTTCCGTGGCTCAGCAGTGTGTGTGTACAGCATGGCGGACATAAGAGCTGTGTTTAATGGACCCTACGCCCACAAGGAGGGGCCCGACCACCGATGGGTAGAATACGAGGGAAGGATACCCTATCCCCGTCCTGGAACGGTAGGTTACCCACTAAAGGGAATGACATTTAAAGCTGATTTTCTATTCACAAGTTGGAATATAATCCTCTACTGTATGTTTTTGCTAATTAAAGAATAATACACATGGCTTAATTTAAAAGTACTGGATTCAAAGAGTGAGATGTTCATGATGCTGTAGGTTATGCATGCTCACATCTGCGCATGATGTATGACATAACCTTGGCTTTGAAGAGGTTGCTCAACATATTAATCAGACTCTTGTTTTATTTTGTTTACAAAATGTAATCAAGGAAGGGAAAGGGATGTATGGGGAATTCAGTGTATGCTTCAGGTGTGCAGCTGTTTAAGCTTTAAGATATACAGCATGGGGGACCTTGGGTGACAGATGTTCCAGATGTGCTTTGCCTACTGCTGTTCTGCATTTGACCACCAGAGGGAGGCATGCACCATTACATTTTTAGACGCAAACCACTGGATGAAGGAAATATGGGAAACATACACAAGAGACACTCAGTGCTTTAAATCATCATGTCATTTTGAACATTTTGAATAAGATCAACATTTTGTTTGTCCTTCAGTGTCCCAGCAAGACATATGACCCAAGGATCAAGACCACCAAAGACTTCCCAGATGAGGTGGTCAGTTTCATTCGATTCCACCCTCTCATGCATCAGTCTGTGACTCCTCTGACTGGCCGACCCGTGTTCACACGCGTCCGAGTGGACTACACCCTGACTCAGATCGTGGTGGACAGAGTTTTGGCAGAGGATGGACAATATGAGGTCATGTTTCTAGGAACAGGTGAGAAACCCACCTCTCCTCTGTCTTCACTTGGAGTTCTATTTTTGACCAACAGAGGGCAATAAACCACTATAAATTGTCATCAGCCATTGACACTTTTTTCCTGATGCGATTATGGTCTAGTTGTTAGAAAGATTTATGAACTTAAGGTTGCAGTATTCTTACTATGGTACATTTTTAACAAAGTATTTCTCAAAATAACGTCAGAGGAATGTGGAAATTGTGTCAGTCCCTTAGAGATCAAGAGTAAGAAGAGTATCTCTTAGTGCTTGTTTTATTGTGCTTGTTTTATTGATACAAATACAATATTCATACCTGGCTGGTTCAAGTAATTCACATTTGAATGGAACATTGATTTTGTGTGGTTTGCTTGATTCATCTCAATCACCCCTTTTGCTTCCCGCCTAACTCTCTGTCGTAGATGCCGGCTCAATCCTGAAAGTGGTGAGCATCACTCAGGAGAATTGGTCAACAGAGGAAGTGGTGCTCGAAGAACTCCAAGTTTTCCAGGTTTGTGCACACACACAAATACAGAAACAGATACACAGACTTTCATTCACTTCAAGTCTTTGATAAACGATGCCAACTGTTCTCTAGCTTTCCTCCATGGGATAGTGAAACATTAAGCATGCACAGCTAGAAACTGTGCACCACAGATGGATTTTTTCTGAGCTATTTATCCACAGACTCATCTGTTACGCAAAGTACTCCCACAGTGTGTATATATTGAGGTGATAAAGCTGGTGACGTTTATTTGTTTATTTTTTGCAGGTTCCCACTTCCATCCTCAGTATGGAGATGTCTTCTAAACAGGTTCGGCATCATTCTCATAAAACAATTTCACACACTCTTCCAACACTATTTACTATTTTCAAGTTGTGTGTATAGGTCTGATGTGGCATGAAAAAAATCTGTTATCTCCCCAATTCATAAACTATTCAATTTCACCCTCTCTCTTTAGCCATTTTTCTATAGCTCTCTCTCCCCCCTTGCCTCATTATCTTAGGGTCAGGGGTGTCAGTAGACACTTCAACTCCAATCATTGCTTCCATAAATCTCCAGCAGTGTTCACCCTGTGTGTGTGTCTGTAAGTGCATGCTCTCTGGTGTTTTCAAAATGTTGTTTGGAAGTTCAGCCTAGGAATCTCCATAACTTAAGGCGAGTCAGAGCAGGTCCTTACTGACATTTGTAAGAACATCCTTGAATCTCTGTTGTTTTTTGTTGTTAAGAATTTTAGCTAAATATACATGAGAAGAAAAACCTGTTATGAATGTGTACTGGAAAAGAAAACGGTCATCATTTTCTGCATGTTTTTCAATATCTAACCAAATTAATTTCCTTTCTAAATAATTCATTTCAACTTGTACCTTCCCTAAAGCAAAGTGTGGTGTGTGTTTCATTATAGCAACAGCTCTATGTGGGTTCAAGTGAAGGGCTAGCCCAGGTCTCACTCAGTAGATGTCACCTGTATGGCCAAGCCTGTGCTGAGTGCTGCCTGGCTCGAGACCCCTACTGCGCCTGGGACGGAAACACATGCTCTCAATACGTCCATACATCCAAGAGGTAAGATACAGTCTTGAAAATTCACAATCGTACAGCATTAACCAACATGAAAATGTATCTTTATAATTCTTTTTTTTGTTAAGAGCTAGTAGATGGATACAGTATTCACAGTAAACATATAGGAATTAAAAATCTGTTACTCTTTGCACACTCAGGACAGGAACAACAATGGTGTGCCTGTTGTTGACTCGTGAACTTTGTAAAAATAATGACAGGCCATGGTAACTTGTGCTCAAATGTTCTAGGTTATGACCCCAATGCACCCACATCGTTTTTTAGGTGTATTCTGCTTTACATCACTCACCATATAAACAAAGAGAGGTAACTCTGTGTTTATAAAAAAAAACACATTTTATATCAAGGTCTGTCACATATCAAAACCCAAACCCTGTAATCTGCTTTAAACTGACCCTGTGTTGCCCTACTTATCCATGATGTGTGTGTGTGTGTGTGTGTGTGTGTGTGTGTGTGTGTGTGTGTGTGTGTGTGTGTGTGTGTGTGTGTGTGTGTGTGTGTGTGTGTGTGTGTGTGTGTGTGTGTGTGTGTGTGTGTGTGTGTGTGTGTGTGTGTGTGTGTGTGTAGTNTTCTGGGGCCATTTGGGTGGATTTTTCATATCTCTGGCTCCCCCTGATGGCTCGATTCCATTGGCTCTGACGGTTAGAAAGAGATGTCACATGTCAAAATCCATCAGGGGGAGCCAGAGATATGAAAAATCCACCCAAATGGCCCCAGAAGAGGTTTTTTTTTGCTAAAAATGTCAAATATCACTTGTTTTACATCAATCTTGATACAGGGTACTTATTATATGTTGTACTTTGGATTCCTAAAGCTTTTAGTCTACTAACCCATCATCCAAGGTTAGTTTTCACTATAAGTACAAAATATTTTTTGGAAGGAGACTATAATTTACAGTTTTTTACCATGTTCAATCTGAATTTTCTTTAAAATAAAAAACATTTATATTGAATCTGACTTTTCTACATCCAACTCACAGGTTTATCATTACTTTGAGAAAAAAGATTATTAATTTCACCCATTTAGAAGGGAAGATATGGTCATTGTTCTGGGAATGTCATTTTCGAGCCCGAAACCTGAAAAACAGGCTTGGGGTTTAACAGGTTTTAAGAAGGCAAATCTGAGATTTCATTTAACTCCAGCTCTCGACACAGGTTCGGGAAAGCCCCATGACCTTCTCGCTGTAGAGTGAAAATGGAACACACACGCTATTTGTTCTTTATTTATATCACGCAGTCTTCCTTCCGGTTGTTGCCTCTTTTGAATGAAGAATACACACTACCGACGCCTGCTGGTAAGGAGAGTTATTGCCACTCACGCAGCGCAGTTCGTACGTGCAACTTGGCCGTCGGCTGAAGTCTTTGCGGTGTGTTCCAGTGCAAAACATGGCCAAGACGCAGGCGACATGAGGCGACGTGAGGTAAGGCGACGTGAGGTGAGGCGACTTGAGGTGAGGCGACGTGAGGTGAGGCGACGTTCCATCGGGACGTGTTCTTTGGTGTTCTTTGGTGTCAGTTTGGTGTAGACCTTTTTTCACTCTACAGATTTGCCTTCTTAATAGTTTGTTTGGGTCCCTCACTTCCGTTTCGCTTCTCATGCACTGATTGGCTAAGCTGAACAGCCAATCAGAGTGATTTATTTGGCCGACGGCCATGTCGAATCGGCGGCGGAAGGTGTCGGCACGGCCGAGAAGACACGACGGTGCAGTACACACCAAGACACACCAATCTGAGTAGGGCGACACGACACTCATCGACGGCCCGACATGTATCGACGCCAAAAATCGGCTTGGTGTGGAAGGACCTTAAGAAGCTTTAGTTGTACAGGAAAGGCTGTTATGGTTCGACACACAAAAACACACTCCAAAAAAATGGAAGCCCTTAATTTGGAGGTTTTACAATGGTGATAATCTTCAAAGCGCTTGAAGTGAAGTGCCCTTACTTCTTTGATTATTGAAAATAAAGGGAAAAAACAACATAAAGAGAGCGAGAGCGAGAGAGAGAAAGAGAGAGATAGCTGAAAGAGAAGGAAAAAGACTGTAATCCAGAGGAATGTCCTTCCAGTCTGCCTTACAGCTTACTCCCAAGTCATAAACACGATGAAAGCTTTTTTCTAAGAATGTAGCAATAGGCCTCCGAATGCTAATTGGAAATTGCTGTGTGGGCTAGTCCCTTTTGGAACGACTAATGCTACACTGTACGGTATACAAAAGGTCCCCTTTATGAATCTGTTAGCTGTGCAGTGCCATCCGAGCTAACAGTTGTTTTGTCCTGCTGAGAAATATAACTTAATGGGCAGTGAAACATGATACGCCTCTCAGATGTCTTGCAGCATCTAACAACTGAACAGAATTTTTGATTTAAAAAATGGTTCTGTTTGACTTTGAAGTTTTGCATGCATTGCATTTCTAGCCATTTTGAAATGATGACATGTAGCTCTTGTTCCAGTAGAGGCTGAATGCTCTGACTGTAAGTTGCATTGGACAAAAAACATCTGCCAAATTAACATAGTCTCATGTAATGTAATGGAAGCACACAAAATAGCCTTTCTTTATCAACCTTTGAATGGACAAGGCAAGCAAATCCTTTTGGTTAAAGAAATATGACAATGAGATGGTGCAAATAATCGATCTCAGTGACAATGTAAGCAGCAGAACTGAGAATGCCCCGTCAGCAGGGTACAAAGAGGCTAAAACATGATTTACTCCCTGACAGACTCTTTTGAATGACTACAAAAGGAGAATGTATCAGGAAGGCCTCCTCCGGAAAACACTTCTGTAGTGGCTGCCACAAAGACCCTAAGACCATCAGATCCCTATAGGAGTCATGACTCCCTCCTGCTATTTTCCTCTATAGTCCTACCTATCTTACATGCACCATTTCATTAATTCATATTACCAACTGGGTCCCATAGTCTGTGTAATGTAGAAGTATGCTTGTTTGGGCTTTAACCCTCCCCTTTCCCCACAACCTGTCCCCCCATATGTCATATCCTCACCACCATGCCTCTGTATACCTATGCACTGTCCTCCTCCCTCTTGTGTAATATCTCACCTTGCACACACGAGCCACTCGAGACAGGATACTCTTGTCATTGCCTTCCCACGAAACCTCGCGGAAGAAGAAGTATATTTTATCATCATCTGGATTGTAGGTGTCTGCAATGGGATGAGCTGATATAAACTTGGCCTCTGAAGAAGGGAGAAAATAAAAAGGGGGGGGGATTGTTAAAATAAGTCAGGTAATGGATTTGCCATGAGCTGCAGCCTTGAGGTGGGATTAACACTACACCTACTGTAGCACTTATTTGCAAACGTTCACTATTCCTACAGAAAGCTGGATTTATGATGTAATGATGTGAAGTAAGCTTATGCATATGCTGCATGTACATTCAATTTGACATACAGTTTGATACATGGGCTAAGGCAGTGATATGCCAGGATATTTAGGTAAGAGCAGTAAGTAAAAGCAAACTGAAAACAAATAAAGAACATAAAAAAAAATATAAAAGTTGAACATGTCGGCAAACAATTTTGGCCGATTTACATCAAATAGACAGAACAACATTAGCATTATTTTTGTATTTGTGTTTTTGGGCACCCAATGGATAGACCAACATAAACTGTCCTTCTTGCTCTGTCTTTCTGTGAAAGATCGCGAGGGACACTGCAAAGTTGGTTACCATGAGAGATGGTCATTTGAAAATACTGATTACTACAGCTTTACACATTTTTTCAAAAAAAGAAAGAGCATCGAAGTGTTTTTCAAACAAATATATAATATTTTATAAATGATCCTAAACGTTTGTGTTTCAAATCTTAATCTGCTAATAATTAGTAGCTATAGTTGTTAGATGTATTATAAATAAATGTGCTACAGTAAATGACAAGTTACCACATTAGAAAACAAACATGCTTAGATTAATCAGTGATAACCATGTTAAGATGTTGCACAGTGTGACAGGATAAACAATGCATACTAGATATAATGTTGAAAGCAGCAGTGATGAAAGGAGACAATCAACAGCATGTTGTCATGACTCAGGCGGGAACAAGTCCAAAGACTTAAGTATTGCAGAGAAATTACTTCACTTTATTTCAACCCCTAGAATCAGAGCCAAACCCCAGAGGGTGATTCTCCGACTGGAACTGCTTAATGTACGCTGCTAACACACGCGACAGAAGGTCATTGTTAGTGCTGCAGCATTGGAAAGAAGTAACAGAGGCAGAAACACTGCAAGAGGTGACGTGTTCTCTCTCTCTCTCTCTGCCTACCCTGCGCCAACACAAGAAGTCCTCAAACACCTATAGAAAGAGGGTGACGTAATTACTCCAAATATCTCTGAATGCCTGGTTGTGAAATGTGGAGACCATGTGTAAGGATTTAGATCCCAGTGACAACTGTTGATACACGACGACCCATCAGTGGCTGTAAAACACTTGAGACTGGAGACTGTAAACACAGAGAGAAGTTTCCTTCATCAGTGATGACTGGGCATCCCCGTGTGTGTGTGTAAATGTATTTGTGGCTTTGCGCTTGTGTGACTAAGCTTGTGAATTTTGTGGCACACTGTAAATTCCCCTGTAGGTGCGGTCCCTGTTCAGCTATGGCATTCATATAAAAGTTCCAGCTAAATGAATAAGTGGGCTGTTTCCTCCGCAATGGAATGTCAATAACCACCCTGAGGGCAAAGAGAGGCTCTTTGTATCAGTGGAGAGGCTGGAAGTTTGAAGAAAAAGCAATAACAAGTTTTTAGTGCACTCAGCGTGCTAATGGGGATATGTGCAAGCATGTGTGTACCATTGATCCAGTATTCTTCAGACATGTCAGTGCGTATGTAGTGCTGGTCAGGTGGAGGGCCGAGGGAGCGTGTGAACGTTGTGTCTTTGCCCAGGAAGTCTGATGATGTGCCGGCATACAGGTACTGATCTGGATTACAAGCAAAGGTCAATCAATCATTCCATTAGATATGCAGAAAAGAAAACCACACATATAGAAGATTATTGTACAAGGAAAGTCAAATAGCAGTAGCCTCTCACAATCTAATTAAACATGTCCACCAGAAGAAAATTATTCAAATTTCAGTTTCCATTTCTATTTAGCTCCTTCCATTTTTCATTGACTTACCTCGATGAACTAATCTACAAAAACATTAAAAAAAAAAAACATGTGAAGGAGAGATAAGGCTCAAAAGTACCTGCTGTTTACAAGTGTCTGCCAAGTGATTGTGTTGCTGCCTGGGAAATGTCTGCTTGCTTTGCTTTCTTGAGCAAAATAATTTACAGAAAAGTGCCAGGAAAACAGTCACATGACAAATGCAAATGTACTCAAACAGCTGAGTAGAGACTTATGGAGAAACATCATTTATTCCTGGTTTAATGGTGCGTGAAGCCAAAGAAATCTGGTGCGGGACAGATAAGGCAAAAAAGGCCTGTCAGAGTGTTGTGTGATGGTACCTGTGAGGACCGAGGTGAACGGCTGCAGGGGATCAAAAGGACACTTCAATCTGCCAGACTCCACTGTACTCGACAGCAGTTGGAACACGCCATCCTAAGAGAAAGCTTCACTAAATTAAATCCCAATCCTGACCTTGTGTCAAAATGAACTACTGCTGAGGTTCTCTCTCTCATGTCTACTTTACCTCTCTGCGGCCAGTGATTTCAATAAAAGCACAGGTGGGGTGGAAGGAGCCTGTCCCACAGCCATAAACATGTGTTCGATTGTAGCTGTGGAGGACCCTAACAAAGTTAGCACACTCCAACTACGACAAGCAGGGACAGAAAAAAGGGCAAGGATTAGCTATTATAAAATGATGAAGAGATGATATGATTTGAAGTAGTCAAGTGCTCACATTTGCATTTTTTCCTGCCAGTTTGCACATTTCGACTCGGTCCCTCGGAGCAGGCCAGTTAATCTAATGACAGATAAAAAAAGGAAGAACATTTTCACATCTCAAATGCTAAATAAATCCTCACACAGTTATTTTCCAAGTATATGTAACTATAATTTAGGTGTTTAAGCCTTTTTGCACACTGTCATTAACATATTAATTGCATCTCTACCAGGATGAAATGCAATAAAAACTTTTTAAATAATGAAATAACAATAAACAAGTTCAACCTGCTGAAGGTTCAGAAAGCAGCTACAAGACTTCTCATAACATTTAAAAGGGGAGTGCATAATACTCGTGTTTTAGTATGTTTAATCTCTATGCACTTTAGAGTAGAATATAAGATTTCATGGATCAATGTAATGGGCTCTCCTGAGTAAACTCATGACCCCCTAACCTTAAATGAGCCTAAGTGCAGCTCAAAATCCTCCAGATAGTCCTTTGTAGTAGCTCTTAAAAGCTAAACGCAAGAGGAGGCCAGTCCTTTACAGTGAGGGCCTCTCAACTGTGGAACAAAGTACCAGAGAAACACTATAGTTCTTTATTCAATACAAAATCCCCTTCAGAGGCATAATATTATTCTATATTTATGTTTCCCTCTGAACTTTTAGGGTTTGTATCGGTTGCTCTTCTGTTATTTTTAATTTTGCATTGTACTCCCCCTTGGCCTGCACAATTTCCAGTGTAATATTAAAAGTGCTATATAAATAAAATCAGCGTTGCAAAATGTTCACTCCTCACCTCTCTTTTTGACAAGTGGAGGATTATTAAAAAGCTGAACTCAGTTGTACAATAATTAGCTCCATGTGCTCGTACGAGAGAGCTATGGACATATAAAATCAATGTTCCCCATCCTGTTCACACATGTGTTATAACAGGCTTAAGTGCTTAGCGTGTTACCTCCCCTAAATCCTACCAAGGAGAGCCATCGCCAAACATATTCATGGGTCAACATACGCTTGCATAAATATTAAAACATCTTATGATTCCATATCAATGCAATGCCGCAAAGGAATTCATACAGAAAGCCAGTGTGACAACATGATGTGTCGACTGAGTACGGTGTGGAGCCTGCGAAGGTCTTAAACTGGTTTTAAAGTTCAGAAAATGAAGTAATCACTGGCCCAGTTTAACCACAGCATGTGTGGATTGTTAAAGACTGTAGTAAAAAGTTAACAACATAGCAGCTATCTGCTAAAAATCAAGGTAGAAACACCTGGAAAGTTTGCTCAGAGATTATTTGTTTGTGTTTCAGTACCAGAGGGTCCCTTTCTTCGAGGTATGCCTCTTCATTAACTGATAAACACCAAGATTGCTTTTCTAGATCATATTCACTGTCGAGGGCTGGTCCCAGAGGGCAAAGAGAATTAAACATTCGGTGCATATCTCCCTGGCATCAGTATGAATAACCATCGAGGCAACAAAAAGACAACACTTTGAGAGCAAGAATAAGAGTTAAAATAACCAGATAAAATCAAATAAACACACAGTCGTCCCACTTGCGGATCAACCTCAGCTGCATAAACACACACTCACATCTACAAACTTTAACATATGGCATCTGTCCAAATGCATTTGTGTGTTTGTGTAAGTGTGAGTGTGCGTAGTTCTTAAATGTGTTTATACTTGTGCGTGTGTCCTCCAACATGGTGACCCTGACCTCGCCCGACAGACAGTTTCAGACTGTTGGTGACTGAAAGGTGAGCTCTTCTCTAAAACAATACACGTCAGGGTTCAATTCAGCTTTACAACAAATGGGGGAAAGAAAATCACCCCAATTAATAACAAGCCTCATTTAAGGGTCATGGGCTGAAGCATGTGGAGTCTTTATGATCTACTGTATATAATACTGAGCTGTTAACAGTAAATAACAGAGGATATTAGGACGTTTGCATGTCTAAGGACTGGGTCATTTGACTCTGTGTGGAGCAGATACTCCATCTCCTATTGAAAGTTGAATATCTTAGACCACTATTTTCTGGTCAGAGGGTGTTGGCGATTCTTAAAACAGCTGTAAACACTTCAGAGTATACCAAAACAACCTGTCATGTATAACAAATGGCCGTGACAGCTACAAACTCACAATCTGCTGTTTATTTATTGCAGTAGATTAATTATTGGCCTTGGAATGTTTAATGTTGTTCTATATATAATTAGCATATTCTGTATAATTCACAACATGGTTTACCTTTCTTGGGGCTCTGGCCAGATTGTCAGGGTCGAGCAGGTAGATGTTATCCCTCGCTCCCAACAGAAGACGACCCCTCTCCTCATCCAGCAGCAGCGAGTGGGAGTGGAGGCCATCGGAGGGGCCCAAAAACACAGATACACTGCCGGCTTGCAGCAGTTCTGGCCCAGAGCACGTAAAAGAAAGACATTGACACAAACAAAGAGATTAATACATCTCTGCAGTACAATGTGTGCATTGAGCTCACATCTAAAAATGCACCATCTAGCATTGAATTACACTATGTTATAAAAATTATTTGAGCAGGATTAGGCTGTCAAGTTTAACTTATTGTCTTAAGTTCACTTGTCTCAAAGACAAGCACTGGGTTTCCTCTTACATAAAAGAAGACAAGTCTTGGCTTGAGCTAAAACATGGCTAATCCTCCGGGGTTTAACACCTTAGCTACACATGCTGATAGAGAAGAGATACAGTAGCAGACTAATTTAACAGCACAGTACTTTGGTGCAAGCACTATGAGATATCTTCATCAGGGTATTTTCATAAACCATGAATACATATCATAGTTGAACAGCAGCTGTTCAATTGATGTTTGATGTCCAACAACATTCATCTCTCTTTCAGATCTTTCCTGACTGGACCTTATTTTACAAATGACTGAACATCTTCAGAGAACATGAACTTTAGCTGTTCCATAGGCCTGTCATGTCACAATCTGTTTGTGTTTTGTTTGGTCTTGTCTTTGTCTGTCTTTGGTTTCCTGTTTTATTTTGAAAAGTGTTCACCCCCTGTCTTGCCTGTTGCTTTCTGTCTGTGTTCCCTCCTGTCTGATTACCCGATTGTGTTCACCTTTTGCCCCTCTGTTTTCTCCTCCCTCCTTACCTGTCTCTTGTTGTTTCTTTGAATTAGTCCTTGTGTGGTATTTAAGTTCTGGTTTTTCTGTCTGTCATTGTTAATTCCTTGTGTGTCTTAGCTGTGTTCACGGGGAAGAGTTCTGTTTTGTTTCCATTTGACCTTGGAATAAAGGTGTTTTCCTGAGAAATCTGCGTTTGGGTCCTGCCTGCTTCACTCAACCCTGACATGTCATGGGCAATGTGAGATTAGATCATAATAAGATCGCGTGGAATACCTGGTGCTCAACCATAGGATGATGATGTAGCTTGCTTTTAACTTCTTTATGATTTATAGTAGTATATTTTAAATAAACTGTACATAAAATGTAAAATATACGGTGCAGTTTCGCTTTGATTCACAGCTCCAATATCTGACTACATTCTCAGCCCAGTACTGTGTCCTTGATCTCCTTGATCTTAGTAAATCTATTCTATCAACAGGCTCTTTTCATTTCATCAGTATAGCAACATGCCTTGAATAAACACAGACTCAGTGTGGGGGAGTCCTTTGGGAGTCACTCTGAAAGGATTGACATTGTGATTACCCTCTTGGTGTGAAGGATTGGAGAGGTTACCAACCTTCAATATTTTAACCTCTTCGACCCCTCCACACCACGCAATCTTGCTTTAATACCTCCTCCTTTACACAAGCTAACACACACAGTACTGCAACATGCTCATATCTCACACCCCTGAACATCATGCCCCCAGCAGACTAAACCTCACAGAGAGATTAGGCCTGCTAGCCTTTGGCTAACGCTAATCTGCTCTGTAAACAGGTAGCACTATGACCCCATTCAAACAGCCTGCTTAGCTGTTGCCGCTTACTATAGTGGTCCACACCTTCTCTCAGAGAGGAGAGCCTTCTTCCCCCTAACAGCTGTTGATTAGCTCCTCTGCTGGAGCTCTGAGGCACTCTCATCCACACATGTATTTGAGTAAGTCATCACCATGTCGGCTTGCTGCCAACAGGTTTAGGTTCTGCTGATTAACTAGATGTAATGTCTGCTATTGTACAAGAGCAAACCATCTAACAAAGGATGAGTAAGGTAATGCTTAATCATCCGCAACGTTCTCTTTTGTCTGAAGGTTGAATTTGATATAAGAGCATGGAAGTGGAAAAGATGTTAACTTTGCTGCAATGATGCAGAATATAAATCTGCCATATGTGCTGGAAGAAGAGTCACGTCATATTTATAAGACTTCCCTACCTCTTAATGTGCTCTGCATTAAGCTAGCTAAGGTTAGGCTGTATGTCTCACATGATCATTGTCTTTGTTCTGCCTTTATTCAAATGTGGTATATGAGGTTATGTCTCTGGATTCAGAAGACACAGAGTAACGTCACAGCCAATAATGTTTATAAGAACATATAAATAAAGAAACCATGACTTGAATCATGAATCACTGACATGTGTTATGATGTGTGGTTTTTAAGGAAATTAGTTCAATACTGCAGCGTTATATCGTGGAACTTTTTACTATGAGGAAAATGTCCTTTAAATTGAGCTTATACTCTACAGTTTGACTTATAAAATGTAGCTCTGGAGTTATACACACCACAAAACTAATGACAGATTGCAACAACGTAATTAACTAATATTGGTCGCACATAAAGAACAAAGTCATCATACTAATCTGAATGTGCAGCATATTAAAAGTATTTGAACCAGATGACTTGATTTGGAAGAAGGCCTCGATATGATCTGAACGAAACTTGAACTTGTGTTTTTTAAGTGGAGAGTTCATAAGTTTGGGGAACAAGGCAGTTGTTTTGGAAGTGTTCATTCAATCAGGGATGATTTTTGCTTTGATCGTTTCACCCTCCACTCATTGGAGTTGTGCTTTCACTGGGGGGGGGGTTATGTGATGTTTGAAGAGTGATCACTGCTGGGTGGTGTTGCTTTTGAAGAGAGTACACTGATGAGACGATGACAAGTTATGTGTGAATGATGTGTGCATTGGGTTGGCGGTGATTTTGCTTTGATTTAGTTTCTTCTTTGATTCAGTCATTCTGACGCAGAGAGCCAGAAATGGACATTGCTCTACAGTTGTTAATCTGGTGTCTGAAAAGAAAACCATTACTTTCTCAGAAGGCCTCTTGCATGAACAGCAACGTTTAGTCATAGTCAAAGCCAAGAGACACACCCTGATAGAGTATCAAAAAAGTTTTCTCTCATATATATGGCCCCATTAAAATGCTATGTGAAATAATAAAGTGCTTTATTTCATTATCTGGTGGGTTAGGAAAAAACATTAAACGAGACAAACTGTAGACTAAATGCGAGAATAACTGCAGAGTAAACACTGTTCACAGCAATCATTACTCCTTCAGCTACTTACATATATTTATGTTGTACACAGGGGACATACATGTGTATCTATTTCCAGCAATGGGCTTTGGAAGCCTTTGACCAGAAGAGTGCCTTTGGAGGTTAAAGTCAGAGTGAGTTTACTTTTAGGCAAGTGGGGATTCAATTTTATGGACCAAGACTGAAGTTCATTTGTGTGGTTTCTGGTAGTTGATACAACGCATAAGGGACGGAGACTTTGAAGTAAAGTTTGCACTGGAGTTAAGGATGGGTTTTAGGGGGAACCATAATTCAGCTTTTCTCCGGTGGCACAAAACAAACAGTTGATGCAAAACTAAACACATAGACGGAGTGCACATTGCCGGGACCGGCTAATATACACACAGCGGCTTGAACGAGAGTCTCCAATGGGCCGAGAGCATCACCATGAACTGTTATTCTGCATGGTTGTATTGTACAAGAGTAAGAGTTATAATAATACTGAACAACAGCACATTTCAATAACTGATTGCAATTGTTAGTTAGACGGTTATGTCAAGATGGCATGTTTGCCAAAAAGTGACAGGGGAACATTATCATACCCATCTAACTTTACAAACAGGGGGGATTAAGAGGTGGGCTAATGAATCAGTAAGTGAGTCTCATAGCTCCTACTCCACTTTACAGTGTTGTTTCAAAGACCATTGACTTTAACAGCGCAACTGAGTGTAATATACTCTCTTTTTACTTTTCCTCTTGGCATTGTGCACAAAACTGCAAGAGAATGAGAGACACATAGGGACGATGTTATAAGGAGAGAGAAAAAAAGCTAAGCAATGCCTTTAAAGATGCAAATTGAATGTCTGAAATGCTTATGGTCATGTATCTCTTATATAAAATAAGTACAGATAGGTGCAAATGTGCTGAGGACAAAAGTAGGCACACAATGAAATGTAAAATGAAATTACCCAAACTTAATGTTGGTTCAAACTGTAATCAAATGTATTAACGTAAATGTCAATTATGGAACAACATTTAAAAAAAATCTCAGACTAATCAAAACTTTTTCTTACCTTTGTAGTTGAGTTTGACCCTTGGGACAGTTTGTTTGATGCTTGCTCCAAAAGGCAGGGTGGCCAACAACATCAATCCCACTAATGTGAACCCTGGATGGGATAGTACCTTAATCCTCTTCATTTTGCTGCCATAATTACTGCCAGACATGCAGTGTAGAGCCCCAACTTCATTCCAACTCTGATTAACAAAGTCCCCTTTCTTCATGGTGTCTGGAGTGGTCTTGTTCCGTTTTCACTCTATCCTTTTCTGCAACCCTGGAGGTAGACCGGAGTAAAGAGTCAAGCAAGGGAGGAGCAATCATACATGTGTGTGTGCATGAGTGTGTGTGCAGTCTCATCTAACTTTGCGCAGGATATGCACACGGGTTTCTGTTGTGACTATTCAGTCGTTTCACCATGGAGCCCTGCAGGCATGTCCCCTCTCTTTACCCGTCCTACATCAGCTGCTGCCTGTCACTGGCTTCCCTTTTGTGTCGCCCTTAAATCTGTTTGCCCAAAACAAAGGTCACTCTAACAAAACAGTGACATTCTACAATCTTTCACTCGGCTATGCTTCTTTCACGTCCTCCCTATCTCCTCTATCTTCTTTTGGCTTGGATAACTCATTTAATTCTTAAGCTAAATGATACTGCTTTATAGTTTCAGCATTGGTTGATGAACCTGTCATCTCCTGCTTTATGTCCTGTGAAAAAAATGGGCCATGTAATGTCTGTGACTTCACAGTGCATTAAAGAGGCCAGCAGCACAGACATTAGTTCACACTCAATGCAAAGTGAGACATATGAGTGAACAGTCATGGGAACGCTTTCTGCCTTTTCTAGCACTAATAAGCAAGAAGAACGTGAGCGACGTGTACAAATTGAACATGGACAAGGTGAAATCTTTGAGGATGAAACTTGAAATCCGCCATATGGCAATGTTTTCATTTTGAACTAGCAAAGATGGTAAGATTAAAAGTTGTTAATTTTTCCGTGGGTTTGTTTGGTTACTCTTTTCTATGTGCTGATTTCCAATAGCCCTGTCCAATCTGTTCTGTGCATAAAACTATGCTTTTTCAAGCATGCAAATATAATCATCCCACGAAACAAAGGACATGCAACTGACAATAGAGAGGATGTTATGTTAAGAGATTATTATAAATAAATCAGAAACTAAGAGCTCAGTTACAAGAAACAACTTCTGCATGAATTTAGAAACCACTCTCTGGTTATTCATAGATATCTGAATGTAAATGTATTTCTTAGTTTATTGTTGCTGATTTACTCTAATATGCACAATTACACAAGTTTCTTTCTTTGTGCCAACTCAAGCAAAGGGGTGCATCCTTAACTCAACCTTCCACTAAATTCTGAACGCCAGTTCTGTATGTAGCGCATCACCCTGCCGAAGAACCGTGTTTTTAAACCTGCATTCCACAGCCACGTAGCTACTAATCAACCAAACAATCGATGAAGAAATTAATGAATGCATCAAAAGAATGCCTCCCCTAAAGACCTCACTGCTAAATTGCCCTCATTACTTTCTTTCCACCCTCATATCCGATAACACACATCAACCTGTCTTGGGACAACATAAACAATGTCAACCTAAATTAATAGATCGGATGTTTCAAACACTCACACAGCTCAAGTACTGAAACCAAGCATGGTGACTCTGATGAAGACGCATTTGGCATCACAGTGCTCTGCAAATTAAGAATGAAGTCTTTCTCTTTGCACTGAAACAAAGCATGTTGAAGAATTGGACGTACAGTATAGGAAATAAATAGGGCCAAATATTGTGTATGTATTGTAATGTAATTAGAGAAATTGACATTCAATGAACATACGTTAATTCAAGCTTACACACACAGATTTGCATGACATGTTGGCAGACAAATTCAAGCTGTAAAAGTACAACATCATTCCACCTAATTTATTTTCCCTCTCCAGTTTTGGCATCTGGTGTTTGAAACTTGAGCTCATTACAGAGAACCAGGGCAGAGTGGCAAACATCCAAAACCCCGTAGCTCCAAACTGGAGAGGATTAGACCCTGATAAACAGACTGCTGTTTACTTAAGATGACAAATTGAGGCACCTTCACACCTTCAGGGTTAGAAATACAGATATAGAGCTGTGTGTGATGGATGGGCAATCGGCAAAGAGAGTGAGAAAGGGAGCCGGTTTAAAGCTGGGCGGTCGTTGCACACTTTGTGAGCGACAGTGATAGTGCTGCTGGTGGGGCTCATCCTTCCTACAGTATCTTCAGGGCGCAGTGACACGATTTCACCCATGTGAGTAGCGTTCGAGTAATGTATCTCTCTTTACCGCTTGAGTGCCACCATCTATCAGCAGTACAGGCCTGTGCAGCACCCCTCTGGAAGAATACACCCCAAACAAAGGAGAAAGCTCAAGTGTTAGAAGAGGAGGATTTAGAACTCTCCATCTGTTGAGAAATAAATGGCAACAGGAGATTGTCACACGATATAGCAGGGGAGGACACAATATGCGTTGCCAGTCAGTCGATACTTCGGAAATGGTGGATAATGGAGATGAAAAGAGAGATAGATAGAAAGAGTGTGAGAGATAGAGAGGTGCAAAAGAGAAGAATCAGACAGCTTGTGCCATGTGAGTTAAGCTAACACCCCTGTTTCCTGGCGGCTACAGCCCCTGTTGTCTTTGGCAGCATGGCCGGCACACGGTGCAGGGGGTGATGGGAAACAAACCTGATGGCGATGGTGACAGATTTAAAGCTAGCAGCAAATATGGTGCTGCTTGCTTCAGATCTCGGCCCAACATATAGCATTTTATAGATGTCACCACCTCAAATAAACCGGACTTTCGAGTGGTGGGCTCAACATCAAACCAATATGGTGTGTGAAATCAACGACCACTCACCAACAGCCATTAATTACCGATATAATCTATTTTTACTAGGGTGATATGTTAGACATGTAGAGTAGCTGAACTTTTAAAAGAAACAATATTCACAGAAGTTGTCAGCAGACATAAGGAAGGAGCAGATGGTGAAGAAGTACTCGGGCCATGGGCATTTTCACACAGAGACCACCCCTAATGAGGCATTTAGCAACACCCAGGTGCCCTGTAGCGTACATTATTATCAAACCCCTCCATCTCCACAGGACAGAGTGCATTAGCAAGGCTATTTGTCTTTATTCCCCGACCACAGGCACTGACCTGGCAGAACAACATAGGTAATTGTTTCTAGCTCTCAAGACATTTGTTGTTTTTCTTGGCAACAGTCAATCATCTTTTTTTTACCTTGTATTTAAGCAAGCATGCAACTCCCCAGTGAGTCTGTGTGAGTTCATGTCTCAAAGGGAACATGCAGGACAGCCACCAGGCCACACTGTTGGTGTGTTCACTTAACACAAACTATAAAGCATATAGAAAAAGCATTAAAGTTGTTCTGCTGGCTATAACATATAGTTCAGATGGCAGTAAAAAGGAAAACTAAACATTGTTAAAATACAGACGCAGAATGTTAGCTTTATGTCTTGGCACTGTATATATTGTGTTTTTTATTTCAATAACAAACTAAAATACTTTTGAAAATAACACTGTCAGCTCTGTCTCCTAAGGCTACCATTAAAACATATTAATGTTCATCTACAGTATAGGGTCCAACAGTTTGTAATCTAAACTATTTTGCCTTAATAATGTTAACACATCAAACACTTGGTACAGCTTAATGGTATTTAACCGTATGCTGAGAATTAACTGTTGCCACAGAACAAGTAAATATGAAACATGTGATCCTCGTGGCTATGTAATATTTTTCTGGTCTCAGATCAAAAACCTCAACGTAAATACTACACCAAAGCTTTTCAGCAGCTTTTGTTGTATAGCTCCTTTTTTTCAGTACTTTGTTTAGTCAAGTCATAAAGTTAACATCAAGGCAGCAAGCTGTAATTCATTATAGATTCCAACCACAAACATTACCCCACATTATCTGAGTGAAACACCGTATCAATCCGCACAGAATGTGTATCTCTTGGGAAATTACATATCACTCCAAAACAATGAATGCGAAAAAATAAATTGCCAAAATATCCCCTTGCGCACAAAACCTAATCATCCAAACTGAGTGATCAAGACATAGATGGGCTTTGAAGTTAAAAATGCAGCCATTAATTAGCACTAAAACATGAATAGATGCTTGGTAGAAAAACATGTGAGGTAGGGATATCTAATACCTCTCCTTGGACAAGAACAGGGATAATTCCTGCAGCCATTTACCTGCAAATAAATCCTATAAATCAGAAAACCACGGCTGCCTGATTTCAGGAGGCCCCTCTCACACAACTAAACCACTCTGACAGTTAACTCAACTCCTAGTAAAGAAGGGTATGAGAAGATGTCTCAGAGTGAATCATTCCGGCCCTGTTCTGCATCACATAAACACATTACAACCATATTCAAAATAACAGACATCTCATGACAATCACGCTTGGGAAACCTCTACGCATGAAATCGGTGGACGGTAATGCCCAGATCGGAATACATTCCAGTGGAAGGAAGTCCTTGCTATTTGGAGGTGAAAAGTATGTCTGTGGTGAAAATCCTAAGGATAGGAATAAAAATACCAGCCCTGAGTTCCTGTCTGTCCACATTTTGTCCCTTCCTTAGTTGTTATCTGAAAACACTAGTAAGAAATACTCTAAGAAACTGCTGGTATGGTAACCAAATACACCAAAGACACATAATATTGCTTGTGTTGCCTTTGTTTAAGTCTCGCTTTATGTTTAATGTTGCTGTTTAATCCTCCGATCTTTGTCAGACAGTGCCAGCTCGGGTCTGCTGTCACGCCAAGATTGAATGGAGAGGTGGGAGAGCGGGGGCGGGAAGAGACACTGGATCTGGGGTTTAACTCCTTTCAATAGAGAGGATGGTTACGGAAAAACAGAGAGAAACAACCGTGTAACTGAGACAACGGAGTATGGATATACATGCCGATTAATATGGGACAACAACACAAGTAACTCTACACATGATGAATGGGCCATGACCCAAGCCTGCATCTCTGAATGTGTATGAGAGTCTGCATGTATGAACATAATGTGCGTGTGTAAGCTAATACCATCCTGAGGTAGGCAGATGGGAGTAATAGGGCATGAAAACACTAAACAGAGACTGACAGTTGTAAGTGCTCTCACTCTCCTGACGGCCTGAGGATATCAGGGTACACCCATGTATGCTATGCAACAACTCCTCTCAAGAGCATTACTTTCTTAAACAAATGTGGAAAGTATCTCTATTGTTCTTTACTAGTCCTGTGAGAGCTTTTGTTATGTGGTTATCTCCACCCTGGCTCCAGTGCAGTTCAGTACAGACAGAAGGAAGGCCAAATAGCTGCAGGGCAGGCAAACCTAGCCGAAATGTCTGTCTGCAAGTCATTGGCACCTAGACGTTGTAGACTTTTTAAACACACTAACATCACCACTGCAGTAAAGGTGCTTGCTACTTTGTATGTGTTCAAAGACGGATTCTGGAAACTCCATATAAAGGATAACAAATCTGTTTCAATAATGCTCCCCAATCAAATCCTGTTGAGCTTTGAGAAAGACCTCTTTAGGTTTGTAGTTTTCATCACCGTCCAGGAAAAAGCTTTGAACGCCATGACGCCGTCACAGAGCGCAGGAATGGTACTGGAGGCCATTCATAACACAGCTTCATGTTGTTGCTGTGATTTTTTTACGGGTAATGTTTGATCGGTCCAGACAAGCAACATAGAACACAAGAACAGTGGTGAGTTACAGTAAAGCACAGGTGGGTCAGGGTTAGCACAACATGAGTTTGAAAAAATTGATACAATGAACAAAGGGAAGGGAACCACGTACCAGAATCGCATTATAACTTATTAACAAATCTATTTTCCAAATTATAAAAGAGCTCTAACAGAAATTAGACTAGAAACCTTTTTCAAAGCATGCTGTCATTTTTTCGAAAATTCTCTTCCAAGTCCTTAAAGATCCCCAGCGTACATTTCCAGGTTGTGATTTCAGCCGCAGCCCATAGTCTGCTCCATCCGCAGCTGCTGTGTATACAGTGGTCTGCATTAAGTATTCCTGGCAGACACCACTTCAGTGACGTAACTTTTGGACAATGTTTAAAGGAGAAAATCAGACAGGATTTTTCGAAGTTGTCTTTCTGTGGCCCGAAGCAGAAATCATTTATTTTCCCCAGTCATGCTGATCGAAAGCCCTGAAACACTGCCAGGGAAATCAATATCCGCACAACTCCCATCTCTCTTTCTGCCTCACTTCCATACTGTAGTTTCTCTGCCTCTATAACACCCCTCAACACAAAGCGCCTTGTAGGGAGTTAGATAAACCTTTAGAAGCACAGTGAGTGCAGAGTGGGTCCTTGAGACTGTTTGATTTACAGGGAAGGGAAGGATGGTTAAATAACTACACTAAACACACATGGCTGTTTTTTTTCCCAATACGCTGCACAGTAAACCACAGAAACAAAAATATCACAGTGAGTTCCATAAGTTCAGCAAGTAAGTTCACTATAGCATGTTTAATGTACTGGAGAGATGCAATGTGAATACTTGGATCATCAAAGAGGAGTGAAAAGGCTGTGTAAGTGCACTTTGTCACATTTAATTTGAGGTTGAAGCCCCCACATTCACCCCCCTCATCAAAAACTGTCTAAACACATGTCAAGCACATTTGGTATACCATAACATTCTGCCACTCAACCAACTACTCATATATTTATATCTATCGTGCCCCGTATATCTGGCAGCGGATTAAAATAAAAACACACTACAATTGACATGAGGTTGCACATTCAGCTTAATTAACTGTAAAGTGTGAATATATTAATGCCACATTTATGATTTTACATCCAAAAGGAAACTTTCAACCCATTAGTGTTAGCACCGTTAAAAAACATTTTCAATAGCTGTTTTCTGTTGAAAATAATGTAAAGATCTTTGATTCTTTTACATTTCAGCAATTCAAGAGGGTTATGCTCCTCATCATTAATACAAAAAGAAGAAAAGCTGTCCTGCATTTCTTAAAAAGTTGACATTTTAGAGAAACAAGCCCAAAATCGTGATTTTCAAAAGTTGGATTTAGGAAATGTGTGAAGTTGTGCTGCAGAACTTAAAGTTGCAGAAGTAATACATGAAATATCAAAATGTTAGATAGACACGTTATTGACGAAGGATACATTTTGAAAAGTAAAGTATAACCGGCATACACAATTGTGTCAAAACCATGTGAACATTAAATTAAATGAAAGTCAAACCTGAATTGATACATGGCTCTTTCTTAGAATCAGCTAAGCTCTGGGCACCATCAATCCCCGTCGCAAGAGACATTAGACATTACACATTACTTCGAATTGGAACGTCAAATATCTACAAATCATGAAATGAACTTAAAAAGTACATCAGAGTTCCACGTTACGGCACATGATTTGCATCTTCGTTGTCGTTATTGCTTGTTTCCTCTTACCTGCGCATTTAACTCCGTCTCTTCTCACATGCAACACATGCCCACGCAGAGGGCAGAAGCGTCACTATCCCTAATTGCCTGACGTTCAGACAAAAGTAATCTTCAGCACGGACACTTGCGCGACGTCGTCCAGACCAAAAGGAAATGGATGGATAAACTTAAAACTTCCCCAAAGTTTTTCCACTCCCCTTAATTGTAGTCAAACGCACTCTTGCGCTCTTGAACTCTCGGTGCACTCTCTCTCTGTGTGTATGTGTGTGTTGGATGGCTGGTTACTCTGTGGCAGTTAGCCCCGGGAAAGACAGACGGTAAACTCCCAATTATGCTGCTGCTGGAGGGAGGGGCCCTCAGCATCTGCAGCTGCCAGCCAACACTGAATTGAGAACGTGGATTGTGGTAAATTCTCAAATTGTAGAAACACCAGCAAAAGTAGAAGTATTATAAGATGTATTTTAATTGTAAAACATATAATAGAAACCAGCTAAGTAGGTTATGGAGTATCAAATACACTATCAAGTCAGCAGCTGCAAATGTTGTTCAAAAGTTGTTTACAAATGGATTCTGGTCCAGATGCTCGGCATGCCTGTTCTAGAAGTGGAGGAGCAGTCCATTGAAGGAGTATTTTTGATGGAAAAACACCAAGAAAGTGTCATGCTGTAGGAGTTTTCACAACCTGAAAACTCACATCTGTTCAATGGTTCATAAAGCATTGGTAAAGTCATGAATTACCGCTTATAATCCTCTTTAAAACAATGTAAATCTTACCAAAATGGAACATAATTGTTAGCTATAAGATCAAATGAGCTCAATGATAGAATAAGAATGATAATAATGCTATAGAGCAGAAAGACAAAGAGCCTTGTACTTTATGAGTTTTTTTCTAGCAAATGGGATTGATTAAAATTAATTTGATAAAGAAAATGTGTCCCATGCCACTGGGATTAACCGACTATTGTTACATTTGGGATATGTGAGCATGCATGTCTAGCCACGGCCTTTAGGCTGATCATCTTTCTGAACCGTTCCTTCTAGGTTTCCCTTGGGCTCTTCTAAGAGGACAGAACAGCTGTATTTGGGGTTAGCCAGATCCTGCTGGGCGGGATTCTTTGGCCGCGTGTCTTTTAGACGGGAGTGTGCCGTCACAATGGTGGATTTTCAAGTAAACATTGATTTCTTTTTTGGCACTCTCAGAGACATACACACAGACACGAGCCAGTCCAAAGCCACAAAATGATTTGATACTAGTAGAAGTTGAAGAAGGGTTAGAGCCAAATACTCACTGAGGTTACATTCGTTTAGGATGAGAGCTGTAATGTTGGACCCAGAAAAAAAGAGTAGCAGTGTGTCACACTCATAAAGTGAGATTGGATACACATGCGATTGCACTTTGGTGGTAATTTACCTATTGCTGTTCAAGCTCTGAGGGTGTGTATTTTCAACAGATGCAATTTGTCCCAGTTACGGAAGAGGATTAGGTTAAAGGTTAACAGGTTAACAGGTTAAATCATAGTCCTCCCTCCCTGTTGGGTGGTTAATTGTCAGAGTGTGTACTTCCTCAGGACAACTCCCACACACACCCACACAAACAGAGTAAAACCATTTGATGACGTTACATTTGATGACGTTAAACACTGCATGCTGTGAATCCCATCCCTGCCCATTCTCCTGAGAGTTGTGTTAAACATGTTGTGCATTCCTGTACCATTTAACATTGTGAGGTTCACATTTTTCCACAAAAAATCCACAATTAGACAATTTTCTTTCTGGGATATTGGCCAAGAAGCGTTCAATTTTAACTTATCAAATACATTTCACATGCTCCAGACACAAAGTTACAAGTCTAGCAAAGTAAAATATAAGTATTTCCCATTTCCCCCATAAACATTATAAATACATGCTCTTATGCCTATGTAGATAATATTAGACCAATGAGAGGGATGGGGAAAAAAGGTTCATGGTCTTAACCCCTAGGAAAAGGCACGGCTCCAAAATGCCTATGATATGGTTAGTAGACCGTTTGCGGCCATTTTGTTGGATTTGAACTTGTTCCAAACATTCCTAGTCTCAAAAACAGAGTGATGGTGACAGCAATGTAGATCTTCTTTTCGTTCAAATTAGTTGAGACACTGTTTTAGGTAAGTCAAGATGAAGTTGACAATGTTCCCAGAACAGCTGTCAAGTTATTTAAAAATCAAGAGGAAAGACCGATGACAGCACAGCAAGCGGTCCATCTGTCCAATTTGGAGTTGGAGCAGTTAATTGAAATCTGACCATAAAACAAAATCGTTGTTTGATATGATGTCGTGTGAGTGAACTGAAAGGATTTGGCAAAGCAAGACATGGTAAAGCAAACCAAAGAATAGCCTCTTAATCCCCATTAATTTCTACAATGTTGTTATCCTCCATTAAGAAGGATCAACCGTTCACTCTGGATGAGGTGGGAAGCTGCAGAAATGTGAGATCAGCAGTTAGTGGTTTTCAGTAAAATATACCATCTTGGATAGGGATGATTTTACTCCCACACATTTGTGATGGTATTACGCAAATGTAAACAAGAGAAGATCATGGACATTGGAGGAGGAAGAATGTGTTATCTGAAGATGTAGAGAAGCAGAGATTTAAAGGATGGGAAATCTTCTCTCATTCAAAAGGGATTAACTCCTTACAAATTGGAAACACTTTCAATCGTACATTATGTGTTTGGGATATGTAAGTAGCCAATATATCACTTTGCATTGTTTGGTTCATAATCCCTGTCTCATTTTCTTAAGGTTCTTAAGCAATTTGAAGTTGCCTTCTCCTGCCGGGTGAGATGCTTTGTGAAATGAGGTGAGAGTGCCAAAAATCTTGTAAACGTGGGCATAAATGCTCCATTAGTAAGTCCACAGTCCTCAGTTGTTTACAGAAGGAAACAACTTTTTAAACGTGCTTGTGGTATTCTTGTGGGAGAGGGCCTTGTGCATAATCACACGAATAGTGGATGTTAGGGTACAGAAGGCAGTGCAATCTGTGAATAATTTCTTACAGTAATCGTGAAGATCTCCAGTGAGAGGGCCGTCCGCCAGGCTTGGTCACCCAGGGAGTCCTATGTGGGAAACAAACACACCCATGCAGGCCTCCAAGCCCTAGTGCCAATAGACTTGAACTGATTAACTAATCTTGATTTCATGAGCTGCCACCAGGCTTGTAGTAACTACGACTGGAGCTAATTATCAATGATTGTTACTTATCGATGATAAGGGATAAGGATCATTAATTAGATTTCAACAGGACATGTCAACAAGCATATAGAGGGACTTTACGTTTCCCCTGAAATTCTAGTGTGAAGTGCAGCAGACAAAAAAATACACAGAATACAAAATGTGTGAATATTAAAATCTTTGTTGTGTAATGTCAACTTTGATATGAGAGGTGAATAAAGTATTTTCAAGGACACCTTCAGCATTTATGCCCAAAGACAGTATATCAAAAGCTTCTCCTTCAGTGAATCTCAGAAAGGTAACCATAAAACTCTTTATGTACTGTGAAAATGATGAATGGCAGTGAACACAATAAAACTAAATGGCCAACATTAAAACCATTGTCAGCATACAGTACATCAAGGTTATGGCTGTGTTGGGATGACAGCAACAGTGCCGTATATATAACCTGACTGGCTGTTTTTAACACTATGGATGTCACTCTGTAACCTAAAGATCCATCTTTATCCATCTTTAAGTGCCTTTCTGCACTTTCTAGCTGCAGAGAGTCCAAGTACAACTTTATTCAAATGTGCTCCACCTCTGGGTTTCCTGCTTGACTGAAAATGTACTGGTTCTCCGGAAACAGATGCTCACGATACAACCTGGTCTCCCAAAAACAACGTTCCGATGAATCAAAACGGCATTGTCAATTACATTTTGAGGGAAACATGCTTTTTCCAAGCTTACGCATGTTGGGCATATAAATAAATAATGACAAATATTTACAAATATGAGTAACAATGATGTAAATAGTTTCAAACTTTAACCAAGGAGACTGGCATCTCGTCCTGCTTAAAACCAAAGGACAACATTGACCCTTTTAAATGGACTTGAACTGAAATAACGTAACAAGCTAACTTATTTTAAGCCAAATCATGATCTTTCTCTAAACCCAACAAAGTCGTTTTGCTGCCTCAACATATTCCAGGAGCTTTGTTGTGTTTTTGTTTAAAATTCTTTTTTTGCTTCAATTAACTCGTTAAGCATGGAGCTTTTATTGTTGAAACAGCAAGCAAAAAGATCTTGTGCCATCTGTCGACAACATACATTTTACTCTCTTTACATTTTTATTTTAAAATGATTACTAATTTGATTACTGCAAATACTTATTTGTTGTAAGAGTAACTGGGCAGGTATATATACATAATAATATTCCTACAAATGTATTACATGAAAATATGATTTCATGTTCATTGTTTAGAATTATTCTAAGGCTTTACTCATTGGGAACTCACAGAAAGATCACACTGTTGAGATGTCTGCCTGTTTAACACACTTTGACCAACAGGGGGTTCAGATGAAGCCTCATGAGATGAACCCTTTTGAGAACCAATTGGCTAGAAAGCTTCAAAGCTTCATAATGCTTCATCTCGCCATCACTACTTTTCAGCTCTTGTGGGCATTGATGGAAGCAACATGTCCAGTTACAAAAGCAACAACCACACACCTAGCCCCACTTCCCTTTAAATACCCTCTCACTGACTTATCAGGCTGGACTAAACCAAACAAGGGGATGGTCCCTACAAACATATACATTTTTATGATTTTGGGCCACATTATTTAAGTTATGCCATAGAATCTGCTCAATATATCAATAAGTCATAACATAGTTCAGAGAGTTGTTTGACATGCTGCTTGTAGCTAAGCCATCTAACAAAAAAGTATCCAACTACCCCACCCTCACCTGCTTCTCATTCATGGAACAACAAGGAAGTACAAAACGTTTGGATTCAATTTCAGAATATATTTTACATCAGTAAGAACTAAGAAGATACAGCTAAGAAGCCCTGCTAAAATGAACCAGATTGAAAAATTGTTAGCATTGCTTAGTGTAGCATTAAAAACAAAGCGGTCATGCTATTAATTTATGACAGCCATGTTTTGTGTAGGACTGCCTGCCAAGAATTGCAGACCAATTACTTATCCATGTTACACAAGGACAAACATTACACACATAGCATGACACGGAAATAATGAGATGGAGGATATCTACAACCCATAAATAATA